GGGCCCTATGAAGGTGTGTCTGCCATCGCCATAGGAACAGTACCTGCTCAGTGTCAAGGGCCCTCTGAAGGTGTGTCTGCCATCGCCATAGGAACAGTACCTGCTCAGTGCCAAGGGCCCTCTGAAGGTGTGTCTGCCATCGCCATAGGAACAGTACCTGCTCAGTGCCAAGGGCCCTCTGAAGGTGTGTCTGCCACTGCAGGGTTTGCATGACGATGGCCTCCCATCGGCGCTCCAGGTTGACCATCAGGAGCTGCAGGGCCTGTCGCTCAGACTCGGCTTCGGCAGGTTCTTGCTCCTCCAGTAGCCTCTGGCACAGTCGCAGCACAGAGGCCACACCCCTGCGCCGCCCTCGCACTTCTGAGCACAGAGACTGGAGAGAGAGTCGAACAGTGGAAGCATGCTGTCCTTCACAGCAAATAAAAATTGATTTGATCTAATTTGAAAACATTTTATATTGAGTTAAACAGATTATTTATCTATATGATGCCCAATTTGTTCTCTGGAAAAACCCAAAACTTCCCAGTAAAACATTTTGGAGTTTTTAATTTGCTTTTCCAAAGAAAGAGTATAAATCCATAAAAAAGTATAAAGCTGACATAAATAACAAGTGTCTGAAATTTTAAATAATTTGTATTTCACTCCACTGTGAAAATTACAGATTTTTAGTTTAACATTTAACATTTGTTCTGTTTCTTTTACTGGTAAATATGCTCTGTTGTTTCCTTTTTCTGACCATTGGTTAATTGGAAAAAATCAAGGGAAGAGGCTATAGCATGAATAACAAGATAGCAGTGAGTATTTATAGTTCGTAAAGCTTATTGAAACTGACAAGCAATTTAATTATGTAGCCTAAAGGTGTGGAAATGATTATGGAATGTACTTCCTGTTCAGCAAAATATTGAATATCAGATTCACGAGGTGCACTGGGAACCATCATTATTTTAATATAATAATGCAGTAAAAAGTTGTATATACAGCAACAACTTTTAACTCCTAATTTACACAGTCTTATTCTGATTAGTGTACTTCTAGACAGACATAAGGTAGCAGGGGAGAGCAGGAACACTAATCTCACTACCCTGCTGGTTCTGCACAGGAATGCTGGTTTCTCACTCCAAAAAAAAAAAACAATGTTATGTTTACTGATGTATTCCACTGTGCAGTTATTTAGATTATTATAACTATATCATTCATAGAATTCTATGATCCCTGAAATAACCAGTATGACTTTGATATTCTGGGATTTTAAATAAGGGAAATGACAAATAGCTTAAGGTAAATTAATGCTGAAGTATAGCTGTGGGGGTTATTATTTTATTTGCTGCCATAATGCATTTTCTAATAATGCCTCCCCAACTTGCCCTAATTCTGCAGCCACCTTTTCCCTGCTGCCTCCACTCTGGGTGAGCGGTGTTGGCCCCACCAGCCTGATGAGGTCTCCGCGACAGCGCTGCTATGTCAGGAAGATGTAAATCAAGGCACCATCCACTTTTATGCCTCCCATAAACAGGTGAAATATTAAATATTAAAAGGGCACAGCTTGCTCCTTGTGGCCACACAGGCGCCCGCTTCTGTTAGTTTGACATACGTGTAATGAAAATGCTACAACATGAGCCTCTTTTCTTATAAGAAAAATAAAGGGGGGGGATCCAGATTTTTCAGCACTGCATTAGAAATGCTGATGATCCAATACGTGTATGGAGATACCTGTTTAAATATGCAATGGCGTCGCAGGAAGAGAACTATTGCTCCTGTGCTGCTCTTGTAGGACAAAAACATTCCGAGTACAATTTATGTAAATCCCCTTGCTCGGCAATGCATTCCGTTACATTTCCTAATAAATATTAAACACTATTACATCTAAATTGGATTTTGGCTCAGCAGTTTCCTCTCCTGTTTTAGCATATATTTACTAGTTCCTTTGTCTTTTAAACAGGTAATGTGATTGCAAAATACAATGGTTTCCTCTTGGGGAAGGAGGAAGTGAGGCACAGTACATAGTGATAAAGTTGTTGCCAGCAATAAATTGAAACAAGGTGTGGGGGGGGGTTCTAAATGAAACAACCAAGGCTTTAACAAGAAAACAAATGCTTCTACATCAAAAATGAACATACACGTGCATGTACACATAAACAGAGATATAAATACTGCCAGAGCCGCACAGCCACAGACAGTATTTACTTAATATATCTTTTGTAAAGGCCTTTTTGTATAGTGTTATACAAAATGCATTTTTATTATTGTTGTTGCTGTTGTTATTTTGTTGTTGTTGCTGTTTTGTTGTTGTTATTAATAATAACAACAGTTATAATAATCATAGCAAAAAATTGATCAATGTCACAAAACTGGATGAAAAATCCGACTAATTTCTACAAATATCCAAAGGCATTTTGGTAGCTCCATTCTGTCCCTGTTTTAGATAGATCAGATTATTCACCATATCATTCATAATGATTTATTCTTCATACAAACAGACTTTCACAGCAGGTCAATGTATAGTGCATCCCAATATTTATGTCTGACTGTACATATTTCACTCTATGTATTTAGAGGTATGTTAGTGGAAAACAGATTACCGGATCCTGATCAATACTGCCAGTCCACTCCGTTAGATTAAAAGGCTCAGAAACTAGAGGCTATGCCATTAAATCTGAAAGGCAGATTATATTGCTGTATTTCCAAACTCCCAGAAATCCACAGCTTCATTGTTTCTGCATTGCTGGGTTTCACAAAATGACTTCTCCTCCTATTGAGTTCTGCTTTATTGACACAGAGCCTTGGATACGCTATGCCAATATTTGCTCAAAAGCTTCCCAAATACATGAGGGTGGAATGGTGGTGTGCAGACCTAAAGTGGCCAGTGATTTCTCAAGCGAGCCACTTTCCATTGCTGTATAGTGTGCTGGTTGTGTGCAGATAGCCGGCCGGACAGCACCATTGCTTGTCTCGGCTGTGAGTGGAAGGCTGGCCACTCTCTGCTGTCTATCCCGCACAGGAGAATGGCTCACCCACAGCAGACTAATGGGACATTTCTCAGGTCCTTTTAATAAAGGTATCTGAAAATCAGCTGGCAGGTAATATGCAATGGTAGTAACGCAATCTGGGGAGTGCTAGAGATGACTATTTCCTGAGAGCTCATCCCAATAGCCTCATTGCTTTATTGTGAAGCATGATCCATCTCATGTACAATATTAATCTCTAGGCCGCACAGGTATCAGGGCTGGAAATCAGACTCCACCACTAATAGAACAGTAAATATGCATTTGTGACAGAGATATCGTTTTCTACAGCAATGCTACTGTGGCGAATGTAGTGCATAAAAAAAAGGGCTCATCATATTAGTTAATACTCCAATTTCTCTAGGGTCTGAAAGACTGAAATCCTCCTTTAATTATTTTCAAATTAAACTTATGTCAAGTAACTAGTTTCTATATTCAAGTGGCATAATTTACATAATATAATGTAATGGATACTCACAGGTTAGGAACATTCAGAGTAGAGTACAGACAGCAGAGCACCAACACCTATATCAAAGGCCCCAGGATGGGACCCATGGAGCACAGCATTCTGGGTAAATGTGCACCTGAGTTTGTGTGATTGCTCTTGAGTCTTTGTGGTCCACAAGGAAATTAGCAAGCCACTGAAATATTATAAAATATCCAATATGAGCAGGTTTATAAAGCTTCAGATGGACTGAACGGCTTACTCCTTTTCATTTGATGTGCTGTTTTTTACTCTGCTAGACCATTTCTAGACTACAACTGCAGCTCCTACTGTTTGTTCATTTAAAAAAAGGTGGACAAGAAACAAGGAAGAGCAAAAAAATAAAATATACTTTGCAGTGTGGTAGAAGGGCTGAATTTTTACAAAGACAGTAACCCTCTGGATATGCAATCAATTACCATTAATTAGACACCCCTGATTAAATATATTTGTTGATTAAGTCAATTAAAATCACAAGGACTAATTATTGCAAATGAGTCTAATGAATGTATGGAGAGACTATTTATTCCCAAAAAATATTTAGAATGCTGCACATACTGTAAGTTTAAACAGTTTTTAGTAATTTGGTGTATATTAGAATGTATTGTATTCTTAAAGCACAAAGCAATGCAATCTCCTGTAGTTATTTTACAAGTAAATGTATTTCTCTAAAGAAATCTTGGTTATTGAGACATAATTGTGATAGATCAATTATGTGGTGCTGAGAAATTAAAATGTTGCCCGCCTTAGACATTAATATGGTTTACTTACACACACACATGCACACACGACTTTCTCCAAAGTAGGACAGACATTAAACAGTGTTCTGTACCAAATGGTAACACATGTACACGATGCTCTATCCTTGGTTTGATTTACTTATCCTTTTCCACAGATATTACAGCAAATTAAGTCATTAACATGATTGATGTAACATGTTAATTTTACCTTGTTGGCTTTTCATAAAATAGCTTGAGCTGATATTCAAAATCTGATATCTGATGCAAACTACATGGCTACCTGTTATATAGTTATGCAACAGTGTCTAATCTAGGCAAAGTGTTACTGAAATTACTTTGCACAAAACAAAACCTATGTGCTAATTTGAGATCACACTAATGCTTTGTGAATGAGGCACACTTTTATCTAATGTGAGAAAGCAAATAATCAGCACGTGATAATAACAATAAAATCAATAAGGACATTTTCTCATTAGTGTCTATAAATGAAATACTGCTCTGCAGATGTATAATGAAAATAATGCCCTGTCAAGCCTGTCAATTTTCCTTGTATTGTGGGAGTCTTTCCCGGCCATCACCTGTCTGCTCCCCATTAACTGACGATGAAGATCTAATGCAGCGTTCGGTGCTTTCAAATGCAAGAACTTGCTGCAGCCTAATGCAGTTTGTACTTGCACTTGGAGTGTCTAATCATGAGAAAGCACTGATATTATATCTGTGCTGTCACATTCTATTAGCTGGAGGAGAGCTATGAAAACCAAGCTGGGTCCCTGCTTCTGAGAGATGGTCAAGGGGCTGGAGGGGCACTGCAGATGGTCCAGGACTGGGACAGAATAGAGATTGCAGCTGACCTTCCATAAGAGGATTATGCCTGGAGCAGGTCTCAAATCAGTTAATACTGATACTGCACCATCAAAGATAACTCTCTAGTGGAAGCCTTGGTCCTTGGAGTGTCACAGCTGATTTCTTTGATGCCCAGGTGACGGGATTTGGCGCATCCAACAAAGGAATACACTTTGCACTTGTTCATCTTTCTCTGGAGAAAAATGAACTGCTGCAGTAAGGGAATACTGATAATAATAACAATTCAAATTAGATAATCCATAATTATCAAATAACTAAATTAGAAGAAGGTTTCCAGTACTTCTTTGTATTTGCAAAGATTACAATAAATGAACTGGCTTTGATGATACGCGGCAGAACGTGCAACATCTTAAGTATAAGAAAGGAATGAAAAATTAAATAGTTTGTTCCTAAGTGACACATAATCAGAATAATCCACTTAAAACACGGATTACAACAGTTCATGAAAAGGCTTATAGGTAAAAGAAAACTATTTGTTATTGTGAGATCAATGGAGGCATATTAGAGGAAAGCTACTTGTGTCCACAACTGAACATGTTTCTGACATCCTGTTACAACTGTAATACCTATATAATTTCTGCTGTAGGGTAAATGAATTAATTATAATTTAGATAGTAATAATATTCCCAATCATTGGAAAATATAAATAAATCATATAATATGTAACAAATTACATTTTCAGTTATATTTAAATATTTGATTAACCCATGACCAAATACCAAATATATGGTTGAAAGATGGAAACCTATATTTACTCTTTTTTATGGACTTAAATGTTTAAAAAAAAAATATATATATATATATATAATCATTTTAAAACATTATAATTTATTACTATGGTTCCCTCTTTGTTTTTACTTCACTCTGTGGGAAGACCATTAAATACACTGAAAAGCCAAAACATTAAAATGAAATGAATAATGTTGACTATTTCATGTAAACGGTTTGTGTCAAGGTCTTGAATATATTAGACAGTAAGCTTAGATTTGCTACTCATAATCGACTTGAATGCAGAAGACATCTGCCGGGGTAAAAACCGGAGTTGACCATGGTGAGTACCTACTGTACTGAGAGCGGTCCGAGGAGAGAAAACCATGATCGGCCGAAAGGGTGTTGGGTGGCCAGGACTGACCAACGCGGGATGTGAATGAGGGCTTGCATGTATATAAATATTTTAATTATTAATTGATTGTTAATTACAGCTAGCATCTGTAGCATCCATAGTGCTAACTGGTTAACTATGAACAGAAGAGCACTGTCACCAGTGTGATTGCAAAACACTTGGCTTTAGAATTCAATGTTGATTTATTGCTAGTCACTTCCTGAAAACAGTGAAATATTATTTTCAGGTTCCCTGCTACCATTCAGCTAATTATGTAGCACATAACCCGAATTAACATGATATCTCAAGACAGATTCTTCCTATGCGACTCTTCCTGTGCTACCCAGGCTAGAGTTTTGGGACATTGCTGTACTTACATGAATACTTTGAGCAACGAACTAATGCCTAGTCAGAACTGAACATTACAACTTCATACATACTGTATGAGATCTTAATTTCAGCATTAAATATCAAGTATGCTGTACAAAGGGTGTTAAATGCCAGATAAAATACAGGATTTTGTTACATTTGGGCAGGGGAGTGCTGAGTGCAAGTAAATTTATAATTATAACTAAGCAAAGCAACAACAAACAAACTTAAAAAAAACTTCCAGACGGTTTCTCTATACAAATATACAAACAAACAGATAAACCAAAGAAGAAAACCATAACATAGCTGGTCCTTTACAGCATCTTGACTTTGGGAATTTCCATAACCTTTCCTTCATTTAATTTTCATTTAATTACAATCCTTTCTCTCCGATCTCATTACTTTCTTGGCTATTCCTTAACAATATGTTGTTTACAGATCCATTCATTCTCAGTACCCTATTTCATGCACCCTACTATTGCCCTGAATAATGCAAAAGAAAGGAGATCGAATGTGTCAATGTACAGGCGTATGTTATAGCATTTGGCAAAGAATAAAAACGGGCCAAAGTGAATGCAGAATTTTAAGGTGCCTGCACATGCAGTTATTGAAACAGTAAAGTCATCTGCTTTACCATTATGAATCGGGATCTGTAATTGAAAGTTAATGTTTGCTTGTAACAGTAAGCACACCAAACAATTTAATTGCTGTAATGTCTTTGAATGAGTGTGGATGTTCAGTATGTTCATGCAGAATACAAGTTGAAAAATTCTGTGTAAAACATTTGACACTTTACTTGTGTTAGGTACTTAGGGAAGGTTTGCTTCTGATTCTCAATGACACCTTAAATGACCTTCAATTTGCAAGTGCCTGTTATTAAATAATGCTCAAAGATGCCACTTTTTAATAAAACCCACAACCTTAATGACATATTTTGCATTGGTAATTATGCAGTGCTTTATTCAGGATTCTACCCAATTTATATTTATTTTTTAGAGCAACACTATTTTTTAGAGCAACACTAATAGTAGCACTATAAATTACAGCAGCGGAGTTAATGCATATTCCAGCAGAAGAGCAAAAGCCATGTTTCAAAACAGACATGCTAGTTATTTTTTTCCCTTTCAATGTAATGATGTTTCTTTCCATTGAGTAGTTCTCAAATTTTCATATATATATTTGGTTCTTATTCACAACATTTTTTTCTGTACACAGTGTAACTTTCATTGAAAAGTCAAGTATTCATAAAACTATTGTCCAACAGACATCATTTATTCTGCATACATTTAAATAGATTTCTCTGCTTATTCTCTTTGTCACTTAGTACAGGAAATTTTATCAGTGCACTACCGGTTATTTGACACGGCTTGATTAAATCTCTTTGCCGTCTAGTTTGATTTTATGTTAAATACCTATGTCTAACATAAACAGCAGTAAATTGTGCATCAGAATTAAAAAAGGTGTTTGATTGTCCTGTTTGGAAAGGTTTAGAGGTGTTTGTTTGGGTGGCATTAACTGGAATGCAGTTTCAGGCTCCTCCTACTTCCATAGCATTAAAGGGTACCCTGACCTGACATATTTTTAAGATTATAAAGTAAGTAGCAGAAAAACTTTGTTCTTAAGCAATACTATTGTATATGCACATGCAAGACATACAGGTAAACATTTCCCTATCATTAGCTGGGTAAACTGTAAGTATTTGAATATAAACTCATGTTTGATATAGTTTATAGTCATATAGTGACATCATCATTATGCGATTAAGTATATGAGAGTATATTTGCTGACAGAATTATTTAGAGAACGTGCTGATATTCTTTACCTTGAAGTACTGGAGCTGCTTGTCGTCTTGCAGCTCCTGCCGGAGACAGGAGTTGAAGATGAGGAGCTCGGCGTTGCGCAGCCAGCCCTTCAGCTCTTTGATGCGGGTTTCCAGCTGCCTCAGCATGCCGGTTGTCTCTGGGGAGAGCAGGGCCGGCGAAAGCTGCGCAGGGCTCCCAGAGCTGGGGGGCTTCACGAGCTCTGCCAGGGTCGCCTAATAAAAAACAAACAAGATAAGGATCATCCGCATAGACCGACCGACGAACAAAATCAGTGTCATAAATACAGAACCAGCAATACTACAGTACATATAACAAACGTTTTTAATTGATCAAGGTCCCCCACAAATGCCAAGCAGGACAAAAGGTTAGAAAATGGTTTGATGGATGTTTAATTGAATTTCTCTTGAATCTTACCAACTTACAAAAATGACCATTATACTTATTTAGCCACTTTAATGGTTCTGTATTCTATATGTTCTATGTTGTGTTCACCTTTGTTATCTCACTTCAGTGCAGCTGGCTTTTTATACATCCTTCTAGAAGTGGTTTGGCAAATTGGATCAGCAGGGAATCCCTAGGCTAAAAAATGCCCAATGCTTTGCAGTTGTCATGTAGGGCCACACTGTGATAAATTATCCTTTGTTTCTTTGCTTGTTTGTTTGCACACTTCAAACACTACAGCCAAGCACAGGGACTGAGGCTGATGGAGGTGTGTTGAACATAGAAGCAAAGGCCAATGAAGTGAAAGGCATTGCATGAGAGATACCCTGTGGGTATTACGCTATAAACAAGCATTCTGGAGAAAGATAAAAGAGTTCTGACAAGCTAGCTGAGAATACTACAGTATGTGCTAAGTAGGTTACATTAAGTTTTGGATTACCAGATTGTGTAATGCTTTGGTAAATTAAAGTATGGCTGTTAATGTATGGAGTATGGCTGAAAATGAAAGCAGAACAATCATTTACCCTTTTAATTAATTGCGCAATTCTGTGGTACAATAGAAATATATCCATCCATTCATAATAATAATAATCTGTATGCCAGAGTGGCTATATTTTTTTTTCTTCCTTTAGTTATCAACCAGAAAATCTAGCTGCTTGTCAATTTTAGTAAGCAAAATTGTTATTGCTAACCTAAGATGTACATGATGTGGTGCAACCTTGGATTAAATCCTTCAGGATAATTTGGATTTTTTTATTGGGCCAATGTCAGTAAATGATTCAGTAGATTATATTTTAAAATATTTGTCAAACCTACAAAGTCAACCACCGTTCATGCCAAAAATGTATTATCAAGCCAATTTAACAACATACATATCAATAAGTTGCTGGCTACCTCCCTCCCTCCCTCCCTCTAGGGGCACTGGAAAATGAGGGGAGTGCAGTGGGAGGGGAGTGCAGTGGGAGGGGAGTGCAGTGGGAGGGGAGTGCAGTGGGAGGGGAGTGCAGTGGGAGGGGAGTGCAGTGGTTAGCATGTAGTCCTGTATGAGACAAACCCATTTTAACATATGCATCAGTTATGTTTAGTTGGGCAACTGCACCCTAAAAACTGTCTTATTTTAAATGATGAAATCTTTATTATGCTAAAATTATTTTTAAAATCTTTCTTACATTGCATCCTTTCACTATGTAACTATTTTCTCCATTGCAATGTCACAATATACATTGCACCCCCTCACTTCCAGGTCTCCCCCAACACTTAACTACTTCTGACACCACTGCATCCATCTTCTAATCAGCTATCCTGGTCAGTGCTATACAGCTGCTTGTAACCTATCCCAGGCAATGCAGGGCACAGTCACACAGACAAGGTCACATACTACTGCCAGTTTGGTGCCCCAGTTAGCCTGACTGCATGTCGTGGGCTGTGTGATAAAACCCAAGTACCTGGAGAGAACCCACGTGTGACAGAGTGCATCCACACAGTGTGGAGCTCGTAATCTGTGTATATTACATTATAATGGTCATTGTGATGTCATGAGCCACCAACCTGTGATAACGAGGCACAGCAGAAAAATGGAAAAATGATTATTCTGTTGACTTGCATCAAAAGTCAATAACTTATATAATCAGTTCATAAATTAACTGAATATACAGATGTTGTATCCAGATACTGTTCCATAATGTTTAACATTTTAAACAGCAATTATTTAAAGCTAAAATTGTATTTATAGTTTTTTGTGGATATGTGTGATGCATCCTTAGGTTTTATTTATTTAAAAGATATTGTAGTTAAGTGATTATTGCTTTTTCGTTTTGTTTAAGTTGAGTATACCAGCTTGACAAAGTTATTTAAAGTTTATGTGTATTGATTTCTTTTGTTCTGCAGGGAACAAAATCTCAGAGTCCTGAAACACTATGCTGTCATGCCTACACTTGCTGTCCCCCAGGGTTAATTTATAATTTTTGGAGAATATAAGGCAGGATTTGGGAGGTTACACTGCGACGACTTTACACAGAAATATAAGAGAACTTGAGAAAATGACCAACAATGACACCTACTGTAAATGAAGGAATAATAAAAGTAAGCACTGATGAAAATAATGAAAATTTTTTAATCTTTATCGTACAATAAAAAAAACATGTAAAGGATAATTATCCAAGTGATCACCCTCATATATAGATTGAAACGTTGCCATGACATAAAAATGCATTGCTGAATTTTATTTTTAGAATGCTTACGGAATAAAAACAAACGTTAAATGCACTGCCCAGTGATTTTACAGAGGGGTGGGGTGCTTTTAAGAAAGACGTGCTCCATGCTGGGACCTGGATGTGTGTTATTTTGGCACCAGTGGGCTCCCACCTGCTTGGGAAACAAGCATTCTGACATAGAGAGTTGGTGAGGCGCTGCATTCAGACAAGCCACCCAGCAGTACAACACACCATTATCCAATTAAAACACACGCTGCTTGGTATAATTGTCATTCTTTTGTATGCTGTTCCTGTGAGTAGCTGTAATGGAAACATATGTGATTATGAGCGGCAATGAAGTGGCTGTTTCCAAGTGCCGCATCAATTAACCATTTAGTCATTTCTGTTTCCCCTTTGCATTTTTAAAAATTACTTATTTTTATTAACATGTCGGTGCTGCTTTGAAATTAAAGCTATGTTTACTGGACAAGGGAGGAGATTAATCAATCTACAGTGTTTTAGGCACCCAACGACAAAACACAAACATTAGCACAAAGAATATAAAATCATCAGATGCACGATATGTACCTTTTAAAAAAATAATAATTAAATTATTTTTTTACTCTCCACGTTTCATGACATTTAAAAATAATGTTTATGGTATGTGTAAAAAAATGTCAGCATTTTTCCCCCTGCTGTTTATTTATTGGAATATGAAACAGCACATGTAAGATGACTGGTGCCAGAGAATGAACATTTCTGTGCTCATTTGACTAAACGGTTTTCTTTGAAGTCGATAATTTCCCCCTGAAAAGCCTGATAAGTGTTCCTTTGTTACTTTACAAAGTGTTTAACTCTCAGCAAAGGACACTGTCTGCATTCTCCACCCCGCCGCCGCCACCACCCCAGCCCCCTCCCAATCCAGACCTCTTTCTCGCTTCTCCTCATTTGAATATTGATAATTTGAAAGCTCTCAATGGATTCCAGATTTAGCTATTGTTTTTGTGCTGTGACAAATGCGGCAGCAGGAGGTGAAATCAATGCCCTTGGAGGGTCGGGTTACAAAAAAGGAATTTATTGCCACTTTATTTTGTTCAGGAACAGTTTGCAATCATAAATTCTTCATAAGCAGAATACTTCAGAGAATGGTCTGTCTTCATAAATATACGACAGAGGACATCAATTTCATTTAATTCACAATTTGTGTCAGCACAGCAGATGCCAATGCCTGACTTGATAGGCTTGTTTAATATGCAATTGAGATGCCGTAATGTGCAGCACTGGGAGCAGAAATTCACAGATTAAACTCTCCGCACCACTGGTGCCTCATTCTGACGGCGCTCTTCAGCGTGCCGCTCACCTGCGATGAAAGAAGCATACCCAGCAAACACAACTTTGTTTTTAACATGTGCGTTCCGTTCAAATGTCAGCATTTCTGTAATGTAACAAAATGTTAATTAACACTGATTACTGTGCTGGAAACACAGTAATCTCGAGTTCTTCGGTGCTTAGTTTTAAATTAAAACTCTAGCTTTGGAGAATAATGCGTATGCTAATTTTGTTTAATTCTGCCCTCCTGCCCTCGATTCTTTGACTCACAAACGATCAGAGCAACAAAAAGCAATGGCTCTGTACTGACTGCTATACGCCTCCACAGATACGACTGAAATATGCAAAGCAGACAGCACCCTCTGCTCTTCATGTATGAGACATGTCGCAGGCCCCGTCTATTGGTGCAGGGCAGCACTCCACACAGGTCAGGCCTTCTTTGGAAATCAGTTTGGCTTTTATATAACAGCCCTGTTTTTCTGTTGTACCTCAATATTTTCACCCTAGTCTCTTGCCTTGATGCCCATCCCTAGCTGAATTTCCCAAGTAAATAAACAGCTAAACAAAGCAGAACTTTGTAGGGTTTAGAAGGGAGCCTCTAGCTGGGAGTGGTGAGGATGGGCACGATGACCTTATGGGATCTTCTCAGAAGCTTCCTGAACCACCCCCCAAAAATCTCCAAAGTATCTTTTATGAGTGATATTCATGGCCCAAGTATAAACCGTAAAACTCCAGACAGACTCCAGCATTGCATTGCAATGCTTACTTTTTAGTTTAGTGGCTGAAGTTAATATAAAGAGGATCATTTATACTATATTTCGCCTCAGTGATTCATTCTAATGGTCTAACAGCTGGCCCTCTCTGTAGCTAAGAAATTCTCCATATGATGACAATGCATTTGAGGTTCAATATGTGTAAATCGATCAGGTAGCGGTTTGCCTACGCAAGAAGCAGGGTGCTATTGATGGAGTGGGGTGCATAATTCAAACAGCTATAATTATATTTTTCATGGAACGCAACAGATGGCTTATGAAGAAACCCAAAATCCAAACATAGTAAATGTCTTGGTGGGTGTTTACTGACATTATGCTACAGTCACTAGATGTTAATCTTCAGACAAACTCATAAGAAACTCATTTATGAGGCCAACATCAGTTGTTTTTAGTAATAAATACAAATTTCCAAGGGGAATATTGTCCTCAGAAGACAGTATAAAGATTCCGTCTTTCTAGCACCTAGTAGAAGGTCCTTGTGAACAAGCTGAACGGGCATTGTGAGAATCAGCTATGGAGAACTGTACTACGGGACCCCCAGCGGACGCCTGAAACCATGCATAGTACATACATATTAAGGTTAAAGTTAAACTTGATGTATTATGTTTGTTCCTATACATGCGTACCAATGATAAAGTTTAATTCAGAAATTAGGGACAATAGGAGATAATCAACAATAACTAGCAATAGAATAGAATAATTATACCCATATACTTCATATAATGAAAGTTTTGCTCATAAGAATTGATTTTTAAATAAAGTTTTGTTTTTCTATTAAAAAAGGGGGAGGGTACTTCAACACAAGCACTGTAATATCAATCAGTCGGTCTGATAACCTACTAAGTAACTAATGGCTGGGTTGCATATACAGCCTGGATATGCTGGACAATGGGATGATTCATGTCCCTGATTTCATTAAACTACTCAGAATGGCGCACAATTTAAAACCTATGAATTGCTTATTTCTGGAATTTTCCATTTAATATTTTCAGACCGCAGTTGACCGTGGATAACTGAAATTGTGGGTAAGGGGGGACCACTGTACTCCCGAAATAAAATAAGGACAGTTACCTCCAGTCTGTTCCACTTTTGTGTGAGGGCGCTGACACGCTCATCAAAATCTGCAGGCAGCTGGACTCCGCTCTTGTGCAGGGACTGCACCTGATCCAGCAGCTGGGATTTCCGGGGATCCCACACGCCGATTTCCACAATGTTCCCCTGCAGATTCACAGACACAGTGAACATACAGTATTTCACCTCATTTGTGGACAGCATCATATGTGAGCATGAAACACATCTCTGACCAATGGCAGGGTTATGGTCGGATAACTAGCTACCAGTTCCTAGAGAAAGCTAAATTTGAAACAGAAAAGGTCTTGGCCATTCTGAACTTCTGAATATATACTAAATGACTGACTGATCTTCATAACCTTTACCACTATAATCACCTATCAGTTTTCGTTCTAAAACAAACAAAATAATTAAGTCTGACACTCTCTCAGTGTCTACAGGGTCCATCAGCAGTTACCCTGACAGTTCTGGTCACCCACCAATACATTTTGAACATTCTCTCATCCTACTTCAGTGATCTCTCCTTTTTCTCTTCTTCCAGTGAATAACAATGCACATATCACAATAGGCAACAAGAACAGGACTGTCATTTAAAGTAACCACTGTAAGGGAAAGGCTTGGAGGAAATTCTCTTTTGAAGTCTCTCTGTCTGAACTCTCACTTTTCAAGTGAACAGTCACAAAAAGGTCAGATACCCTTTCTGAGATTAACATTTGGGTATAACACTATATATTTAGGCAAAGGTGTATGTATTTAACTTAATGAATATTGTGGTGCATACACTTCAACCTAAACTGTTTTTGCTAAAGATTTAGAAAGAATGGCATAAAAACAAGACATTCATTTGCATGAATGATAATAAGATGGCAGCTCCCAGACAGGGATCTGTTCCTACAAACAAACCTTTCCACTGAGCAACACACTGTATATTATGAAATTGACGCTATTCAATCTCACATACGTTTTGCTTAATTCCCCCACCTTTTCATTTTCTGCATCAATAACTAGTTGATTCTAGTTTTTGGTTGTCATTTGTCATTACAGCCATAGCATATTTAAATATTTAAATTATTTCCTTCTTTTTGCTGTCAAGTCTGAAAATCATTTTTCATTGTCACTTTTTTGACTGAGATTGTATCACAGATTCTTTTCAGCCATCAATCCCTTTCATTTTTTAATGCTACAGAAAAATTAAACCTGTTACCATTGAAAAACAAGGGAATCATACAATTTATTTGTTGACAGCAAATATTGATTCTACATGTTTCTTTTGTTTAAAAAATAGCAAAATATTGATCACAAGTCAAGACACATGAGGAAAACAAATAATCAGTTCTAGTTAAAATTTATGAGATCAAAACTTTTTCAAAATAAATTCTCTAAAAAAGATCTAGGTTCCTTTAGCAAGGTGTTGCAAGGTTAGCAAGGACATTAACAAATTTATAAACACAACAAGCACACATGTGCATAGTGGGCATGCAGACATTCATAAATATGATTAAATCCACTCTCACTCATTTTAGTTAATGGGTAAACATTTTATCACAAACGCACTTGGATCTTTCCTTGTTCCAATTATAAGAATAATTGTTTTGGTAAATGCGCTTCATCATTACAGGTGTAAAACCTTTGAGTAAAGATTATTGAGTACAGATATTGCAGGACAAAGACACTTGATTAGGTAGACTGGTTGCTTTACTTAAAAATACTAGCTACCTGCTTGTTGTGAATAAATTTGGGAAATGTTGTGCTGCAGGTTTAATTTTCATTATGAAACAGTAGCCGTTACAAATTTGTATTGTCCTGAAAAATCTTTTAAAAGCACAGATAACAAAATGAGAACTGTTTGTCCCAGCAATTATGTCAATTTTAAATTGTCGTTCATAATACAATAATATGAAATTGAAAATAAAGTTATTTTAGTAAGATTCCAATATTTGAAAAAACAAAGTCAGATGACAATCTATTTTTATTAAAAAATAGATTTGAAATGCTAAAAATGTCAGCAAAACTCCAGTCATACATGAAAATATTCAATCCATTTTTGCAGATCTGTTTAATTAATTAATCTGAAGTGTGTTCAGAGTCTGTAATGTGTTGAGAGAACAGAATTAAAATTCCATGAACTGAAAAAAATCCTTATTTCACTGCTCTCAAGTAGTACTGACATTAACATATCACAGGCATAAATTTCCCACCATGTTTCATCAGGGTTCAAGAAAATGCGCGTCAACATGTGAAAAACTTACACATCACAACAGGCAATTATTGCACTGCACGACAGAAAATTGTGTCATATGCTTTTGGTACAATGTGCAAAAGACAATACTGTGCAAGACAATAAGCTACATCAAAAATAGATATAACAAAAAAATGAACAGAAAGCAGATGACAGTATCATAATACTGGTTAAAACTTTGAAGGAATTGTCATTTTCTGTAAACTCTACATGAAGCAAAGGTTAGCGTGTCTGAAACCAGCATCTGCATTCGAGCATCTACAGAAACCATGTGGTCACAGCTGCCCTCTGGAAAAAGGTACCTCCTAAAAGCCAGTTAACATCTAAGGTATTGCTGACAGAATGGTGTGGTTGGGGGGGGGGGCTCACTAAATATTCATAAGCTCATGATTATCATGTGGAACAAAAGACAGGGTTTGTCGTGACATTCTGGCCACATAAACTGGCTTTTCACGTTCCCTTGCCTGACATTAAAGCGATCCCGGAGTAAAATGGCATAAATCTTCCATGGGACTATCCAGTATAAAGGCTCCCAGTGAGTGAAATGAGTTTAGACAGCCTGCTATGAATTTTCGACGGAGAATAGCATCCGAGTGATAACAAGATTAACGGTGGTATTAAAATTGCTGGGGACTCACAAGGCCCCTGCCAGTGCCTCGGGCTGAGCTGCCATTTTGTCCCAGTGACCCTTGCTCTCATTCAGCTGCGGGGTTCTCTGGAGGACTGGGCCGTAACTACAGAGTGTCTGAAAGTGCCCTAACTGCAGATATAATAAAAGGCACGGACCAGACAAGGCAGACACCCCTGAGCTGAGGCATACAGTGGGTTCTGCAGATACAGGATGCTGTGTGAAACAACACCTCTACAAGAACAAACAGCTGGGCTTTGTGCATTGAATACTAACTTTGTTTACTCTATAGTACATGTACCTAAGATCTGATGCGAGTATGATAACAGGGATTAGCCTAGCAACTAGAGTGTCCACAATTTGAGAGGGATGTGTTGTTAAAATCAAGGCGGATGGTATATTTTATTGCTAGTTTTCGGATCCAGCTTCAAAGGATAAAAAAATCTGCCATTTTAAAAACTGTACCAAATTATCTGATGGGATGTCAGATAAATGTCTCTATGCAGAACAATTCAAATGAAACTGTTTTTTGAATAATGGACTGTGTTAATGAAATATGTAATATGGGTTGTTGGGAACAATCCTGTTGTACATAAGTAGAAAGGTGTTTTTTTTTTGAAGTGCCAACTTCAGAAAAAAAATCCCCAGAGCCAATATCTTAAAAATTAAAAGTCATTAAAAAATATTGGTTTTCCTGTTTAAAGACAGAGTTTTTGTCACAGCAAAACTTCACCAGTCGCCCAGCCACTTGTATCCAAGCTTAGTTTAGCATAGTTAATTATGCTGTGTTTTGTAAAATAATTTGGCGACATCCTAAGTGTCCACTATTTACCACTGGACACTTTGAAAGGAAAGGAAGAAAGGCGCTGGAGAAAGAAGCAGTCCATTGATGAAAAAGCCCACAGCTGAGGAGGCGCGAGCTTTTGATGCACGTTTGAGCTTGCCCAGAGAAAGCACAGCAAGAAAATGGCAAATGTTTACTTCAAAAAGGCGGCACAAGAAGAAAAAAGTTAAACCCCTGATTTGGACAACAGTCTCAACAGTCTATGCAAAATGCTTTTGTAAATAAAAGTTTTTTTTGTTGTTTTTTTTCCCCCCCAAAAATAATGCCCCAAAAAATTCTGCTCAAACGGGTCTGGAACAAAAGGCCTTGAAACACTATTAATTGTCACCATGGTGACCAGAAGAATAAGCCATTTTCTAACTAGTATAGAAGGCTCACACTGAGCAGTGAGTCAAACGTTTTTTTTTTTCCCTTCTTAAACCTTCCTTCACTGTTTAAGAACAAGGTGCCCAGTCACTCTGGGGTTAGAGAAGAAACTTTCAAGCCTTTCTCGATTTGATCTGCTATGGATTTATATTTATTTTCGACTGAAGACTATCAGAGAAGCAATCTTTAAATTGCAAGTTATATTAAGTAAGAAAAAAAACTGCACAAACAATCCCCTGTTGAGAAAAGCGGAATTCTGAAAATAAGATGACTCAGGAGTAGGATGCTATAGGCCCATGCAATGTGAACTCTGGCCCAAGGAACCAAGGGAATTCTCTTCATGACATATCCAGAGAAAGAGAAGCAAACAAGAGGCTGTTTGGTGGAATTTGAGATATTCCTGCCCCCCAACACACACTCTCTCCAAGGAAGATACATTGCACAGATTTGCAAAGTGTTAATGAGAAATTCAAGAGGATCAATAGACAAAGAAGCACACAGTCTACCCACAGATTGGTGAAAAAACAAAAACACAGGAACAGCAGGGCCTTTTACAGAGAATTATTTATATAAAAAAGGCTTGCTGGACCTCTCGGCTCTACACAATAGCTTCCCCTCAGAGTTTTCTGATATAGTCAAAGGACTTTCTTCTATCTACAACAGAATATGTCAATGGAACACAGTCTGACTCATGCAATATTCCTGACCATTTAGACGAATAATTATTGCTTTTGCCGCCTCTATCACTAAGTAACTGAGGTGTGTATGGTTTATGGTTGTTCTTTCATGGTTCCCTCCCCCTGTCGTCTTGCTAGACATCATGGTGACCCCATAGGAAACCCATGGCTAATGCCATTCAGTGGTAAACAAAGGTTCTTTTTATCCAGAGGCCTGGGTTCTAAGCTCAGCTGCCTGCTCCAAGTGTAGAACTATGCTTCAGACAGACTCAAACCCTGCCTTTGCTGCCCCACTCTGGGCCTGGTATTTTTCTTTACCAGACAAACACAGGAAACAATGAAATCAGTCGAAATCACAATGTTTTTTTTTTTTTTCGGGTGGGTAGCAGCGCT